TCAAGAGGAAGGTTTATATATATAATACATGTACGCCCGTGCGAAGCCGGGACGACTAGCTAGTTAAGATATAAATAGTACTCGTACATAATTTCTGAAGCTTAATTTATTCGAATGAGACAAATATAATTTGCATATTTCGCAGATAAAAGCAAAAGAATACATTATTCCTGTCTCGTGTGTAATAAATTCCATCAAAAATGTATAAATGTAATAAAAAAAACATAATTTTGCTCGACGCGACTGACTGCCTTTTATGTGAAGAATATGAGTGAATTGTAGCAAATCTCTAGCTAAATAAATTTGTTGTTACTTCGTGAGATATTTTTTATGTTTATTAATACTCCGCTAAACAGTAATGAATCTTGTAATAGTTTGCAAAATAGACTTTGTTGCCGTGTAACAAGATATCATTTACCTTGCTGTGTCTGTGGGCCAATCTTGGAACTGAATTTAGATCGGTTCCTCATAACATTAACCCATATCTCTTTATACAAAGTCACCTATTTCTATTAGTTTTGAATATAACAGAATAGAAAATTCTTTATTCAAATAAACTTAAATTTAAACACATTTGAGTAATCATATTTCTTTTTTTAATCTACCTCTCATTTGGAAATCAACAACCTAGAGATTTAGCTCACAGCCTTCCTTTCGATGGTCGTGGGTTCGATTCCTCTCGGCACAAACATTTTTATTTATAAGTATAATTATTTGTATTCATTCATAAAATAAAAACCTGTGTATTTGTATCGAGTCTAGTACATAAATATATCACATAATAAACTCTGCTTCGCTTGGGACTAGATTGGTATTGTATCTTCTCCGTCCTGCTCGCCTCTTCTCGTTACGCAGAATCGCCGTTCCTAAACTTGATGCGTCATGCATTCCGCTGATAAGCATCATCACATGACAGGCCCAACTCCTTCATATCCCTATGGACTATACTGACTACCTGACTGACTATACTGACAGTATAGTCAGTCAGGTAGTTAGTGCCTCGTCCTCTTTTTATTGTAGTTAAAAAAAGGTTAAATATAGAATACAGAGAACTTTCCATTAGGCCTTCAACTGGTTTATTAACGAATTTGTTTTCATTAACTGTTCGTTGATAAATAACCCTAGAATAGCGCGATCTCCTATCAAGTATTTAATTATACTTACTTACAATTAAATAAATAATGGAAATTAAATATTGTAATGGGGGAAAACGTAATGATTGGTAAATAATATAAATGACGTAGTGGAGTAACTTGAAACAGTCATGCTCGCTATAAAGTTCAAGCTTGTGGCGGCGTGGTGGGCCGGGTCGATGTGCTCCCTCTAATATGGTTGAGTGCAATGATGGCTGGCTCATCCGTCATACTCGTGAACGGGTGCTGCTTGTGGGGACTGGTCTGTTCAGGTTGCGAACACTGATTAGATTTTTTGTTTTTTGCAATAGCATATGCTGGTGGTTACTCTATTCTCCCAAATTATATAAAGTTATATATATTTGGTACGTAAAGACGTATCATTAATTATCATCATAATAATCTCTTAGATGTAGTCTCAAATATATAATCTTAAGTTTATTAATACACCTAGAATAGAATAGAATAGAATAGAAAATCATTTATTCAAATAGATTTATATAGTACTAGCTGACACCACGAACTTCGTTGCACCTCAAAATTAAATATGTCAAAAGATTTTTGAAGTTTTACGTAATAAATTTTTGAACGCTCCCAGTTTGACAGGTATCAGCAGTTTGTATGGAAAATATAATTGTTGTTTTTATTATTTTCTATGCAATTTATTCATATTTTATAACAGTTTAAACCTTCCCTGGATATCCACGAACATTTTAAGACTAAAATTAGCCAAATCGGTTCAGCCGTTCTCGAGTTTTAGCGAGACTAACGAACTGAAATTCGTTTTTATATATATATATATAGACTAGCTACCCACCCAAGCTTCGCACGGGTGCATACGTATGTATACATATAAACCTTCCTCTTGAATCACTCTATCTATTAAAATAAACCGCTTCAAAATCCGTTGCGTAGTTTTAAAGATATAAGCATACATAGGGACGGATAGACGGCGACTTTGTTTTATACTATGTAAGGATGAAGATATATAGTTTAATAATATAATAATAATAATCTCAGGACAATTCACACAGCGCCATCTAGACCCAAGTCAAACCAGCTAAAGCTTGTGTTATGGGTACTAGATAACTGATACAAATACATAGATATTTTTTTTTCGTAAATACATACATATTATACATTGAAAACGGATGTAAAGCGGTGCGCTAGACCGCTATACCACCGAGGTCGTCAAAGTTTAAGGAAAGTTGTTCTTTAATATGAGTATGTGTACTGTTAATTTGAATTTGAATAAAGAATAAAGAGGCAAAAAAGAATAAATCCCAAGCATCAGCCCGTGTACTGTTAATTTGAATAAAGAATAAAGAGGCAAAAAAAAGAATAAATCCCTAACAAGACCTCGTTCTTTACAGCTATTATTAAATAATCTTTTTCTGTTTACGTTGATAATTAAGGTTGCTAGTAAAAGAGCGGAAAGGTGATCATACTTTTAAGAGATTCGTGACAGCTCAATAATTTTAGAGGTGCCCGTAATGGAGAACATAATCTTTAGTTAATGTTATGAAAATTGTGGTTCCTGTATTTCTTAATTATAAAATAACTAGCTACTCGCCCCGGCTTGGGCCGGATGTACATGTATCTATATATATATATAACTCAAAGGTGACTGACATAGCGATCTATCAACGCACAGCCCAAACCACTGGACGGATCGGGCTGAAATTTGGCATGCAGATCGATGTTATGACGTAGGCATCTACTAAGAAAGGATTTTGATTAATTCTACCTCTAAGGGGACAAAATAGGGGATGAAACTTTGTCAATTTTAAACCGATCGGGCTGAGACTTTGCATGCATAAAGTTACTATGACGTAGGCACCCCCTAAGAAAGGATTTTGAACTGAATGATTTGACTGATTGAACTGAAATTAAAGATTGGAGTTACTATGATGAAGACGTTTGCTTAAATATGTAATATGACGTAGGCATCTCCTAAGAAAAGATTTTGATAAATTCCAGCCCTAAGGGGATAAATTAACGCGAGCGAAGCCGCGGGCAAAAGCTAGTTATATATATAAACCTTCCTCTAGAATCACTCCATCCATTAAAAAAACCATTTCAAAATTCGTTACGTAGTTTTAAAGATGTAAGCATACATGGGGACGGACAGACAGCGACAGCGACTTTGTTTTATACTATGTAATGATGATTATATCTCAGTACAAGTCCACAGAGCGCCATCTTGTGTCTAGCTAAGTACAAGAACATAATACAAGCTCTACGCTTGTATTATGAGTACTGTACAACTAACACAAATACATAGATACAATTTTTTTGTATGTATATGCATAATATTAACGACATCGGGGGTCTAGCGGTTTAACACACAGCTTTACTTCCAATGGTCGCAGGTTCGATTCCTCCTATGGTACAACATTTGTATTTATAAGTGTTTATGTCGGTCTGGATTTTTTCTATGTATATTATCTAAGTATTAAAAAAAGTGTATTTAAGTGTTTATATGATATCTAAAACCCATAACACAAGGTCTGCTTAGCTTGAGTCTATCTTGTTATTACTATTAAAATATATTTACACTAGGTTTGTTTCCAGTGTCTTGTTTACACACCAAGTCACATTTCGAGAAAGTTTATTCTTAAATACTCGACTTGGACCGATGTAAATTTTGTTGAGTGATAAATCGATGGACGCTCGACCTTTGATGAAATTTTGGTGTCAATCGGTCAAGCAGTTTCGGAGGAGTATCATTACAAAGAGTGCAAATCTGATTTCTAAGATCGCTCCGCTCTTCGCGCTCCACTCAATAATCAGATTACGGAGCTATTCTCAGAGTATACGTTACGTAATTAAATATAGCGCCTCATTAAAAATTCCCTCTTTTTCAAGCTACCGAATTTAAAACAGAAGTTCAAATGAATTGAAGATTAATTACTGAAATATCATTTGTTAAGGTAAATAATTAAAGTCAAATAGGTAATCTTCTTATCAAAATTTCCTTTGTGCTCTCTAATTTTGTTTGTTACCAATTTAAAAATAATTAACGCCGTGCTGTAATTAAGATCTTTGTTGTTTGATAAAAATGTACATTACTTGGAGTTTGTTCGGCTTTAATATTGCGGTGTCAGATAGAGGAATTAATTATGTTAAGATATAATCTTTTATACGTGTGTTTCTCGCCTAACTATTAAAAAATGGCTGGACCGATTTAGATTAATGTATTGGTCAGGGTGTTATGCGGAGGAACGAGGACCAGGTCTTATGGAAAGTGTATAATATGAATGTGGATGGATGTAAATTGAGGGGACGCCCTAAGAAAAGATGGATGGATTGTCTGAAAGATGATTTGAATAAAAGAAGAGTATGCTCAAATATGACGGCCGATAGAGAGCAGTGGAAGAGAATGACATACTGCGCCGACCACAAATAATGGGATAAAGGCAAGGCAATGATGATGTATTGATCAGGGTGTTTGCTATGTATATCATATAAGTATGTAATTATAATAAATAATGTATTTAAGTATAAGTTGTGTAGTCTCCATAACACAAGATCTGCTTAGCTTGGGAATAGATATAGTCCAGGGTTATGAATTTATTATTATTATTCTCAGTGAAATATTATTAAAGAAACTTAATTCAGATGTAACTTTACACTCTACTCTAAGAGGTAGTAATGTTTTCCATGAATAGTAAATTAAGAGAGGCGAACTTCTTAGAACTCCATGGATTCACCGTGCCCGTACCTTACCCATCGGGTAACAGTGAGGGATATCCCGAGCTGTTCCCGAGCTTGACTCGGGTGTAGGTTTAAGAGGCCTCTTACCGAGGTCAAGTGATAAATTATTAAGATTACTCAATGAAAGTAACGATGCATTAATTTCCTCAGGTTTCCTCAACCCTCGATCGGACGAGTACCCCAGATCGCCAGCGAACTACGGCCTCATGGACCAGATCGCAGCGCTGCATTGGATCAAAGAGAACGTTGCAGTATTTGGCGGTGATCCTACAAATGTGACACTAATGGGGCACGGAACTGGAGCGGCCTGTGTCCACTTCTTGCTGACTTCTTTGGCTGTACCAGAGGGTGAGCTACATTTTGCTACTGTCCTATATCCTTCTCTTGTGAGGAGAGACTCGTGTATAATAGACGTCATGATAATGCTTATAGTAAGTTATTCCTTTACAGGTTGAGAGACAATTTTATTGCGCCTCAAAAGAACGCTTAAATTGAAAATAGTTTCAAGGAACCTAGTTTCGTAAATTTAGACATATATATTATCCTATAGTTGTGGAATTAAAATAAATTTAATTTCTAAAATAAGAGAAATTTTCGTTACTCCTTATAAGGTGTGGAGCTGTTTCAGAACGTTTGTTCTTACCAATCCCAGCGTCACACTGTTGCTGTCTCTTTAAACAAACATACAAAAGATTGTAATCTTTTTTATATAATTAGCATATACACTTTTATGTATTTATAGAAATAGTGTTAATTTGAAATTACAAACAGACACTTCAGTATCATCTGCTTCTTCCTTATCCCAATTACCTGGGGTCGGAATAATATGTTTTTCTCTTCCATTCATCCCTGTTCGTAGTCATCTCGTTATTTACTTTCTTTCTTACCATATCATCTTTCACACAGTCCATCCATTTCTTTTTCCGCCTTCCTCTGCCCTAACCATCCATATTCATATGTAACACCTGTAAAAATAGGCACTTCAATATTATTTTTTCTATATAAATCATGATCATCATCGTCTCAGCCCGATCGGTTAAAAATTGACAAAGTTTCATACAAACTTTCATCCCCTATTTTATCCCCTTGGGGGTATAATTAATCAAAATCCTTTCTTAGCGGATGCCTACGTCATAACATCTAACTGCCAAATTTCAGCCTGATCCGTCCAGTGGTTTGTGCTGTACGTTGATAGATCACTATGTCAATCACCTTTGAGTTATATATATAGATGTTATAAAACTTTTAATATTAATAATTTCGAATCAGTTATTTGTGTGTTTAGAAACACCTACAGCCGGTACACGAGTACATCTCTTGATTATTCCCTGTATATTGTCTGTATGATGTAAGTTAATCCAAATAATAATCCGTCTACGTTATTAGTATTAAATATCCGTGATACGGTTGTTTTGATAATAGCTTTTGTTGTGTGCGTACAAGGTTTACTTTAACCTGTATTTATTGCTTCTGTACACTCACGTATACATTAGTTTTGTTGTGTATTGTAGAAGTTTTATTTATATTTATATCACCTGTATTTTTTTAAACATGATAATGTAATGGTGCACTCGCTTACGCTAATGGTTTACACTAGCGGAGCACCGAGAATGATAAGATGAGCGTGAGGTCAGATCAGCTAGCCTATTGTGACAAATGCACCATTTATCGTTAAGGTTTTCAGGTGGAACCGCGTGGATATCAACCTGACATGATACATTGCTAGCCATTGCTACAGCATGTAGCAATGCCTAGCAATGTACCATGTAATGTATACCGTATACATATTACTGACAAACCCCGTCCCTTCATCGTCGAATTAGTTCCTTATCTATGGTAGACAGAAGAAAAAAAAATTCTTGTATATTATGGCTAAGCCTTAAAAAAATACATGATGATATAAATAATATCATCCTGTATTTTTTTAAGGATGATAATGTAATGGTGCACTCGCGTACTCTAATAGTTTACACTAGCGGAGCACCGAGAATGATAAGATGAGCGTGAGGTCAGATCAGCTAGCCTATTGTGACAAATGCACCATTTGTCGTTAAGGTTTTCAGGTGGAACCGCGTGGATATCAACCTGACATGATACATTGCTAGTCATTGCTACAGTATGTAGCAATGGCTAGCAATGTACCATGTAATGTATACCGTATACATATTACTGACAATCCCCGTACCTTCATCGTCGATTTAGTTCCTTATCTATGGTAGACAGAAGAAAAAAAAATTCTTGTATGTTATGGCTAAGTAGCTAACGGTCGATCTGATGATGAATGGCAACTGTCCCTTACATATATAAACACCATGTTCTTATAGTTCTTATAGTACTTCCAATGTGTTGCCATTCCAGAAGATATTTTTTTGCAGTTACAGTACGGTATCGTTATTGCATATTTGCTCGTTCTTCATGTGATGAGTCTGCGTTCCGAAAAAATGGTAGAATAATATTATGACTATTCAAAAGTGTTGATATTGAGTTTATTTGAATAAAGATTATTTTTATGTCATACCAAAGGACAAAACCTCTTCCTCATTGTAATGGATGCTCTGACATCGGACATTCAGGACGAGGTACCCTGGTGTATGCTGTTTGCCGACGATATTGTGCTTGTTGGTGAGGATGGAATCGAGGTCCAGAGTAGACTAGATAGATGGCAAGAAAAACTGGAGAGTGTTGGCTTGAAAATCAGCAAAACTAAAACTGAATACCTATTCTGCGATTTCGGCGGTCTCTCCAGTTTCAAGCCTATCTATCTAAACGGTGTAATGCTTCCGGTCTGCTCCGATTAAATACGTAGATATATCGGTTCAGTTATTCAGAACAATGCCGACATAGACCGCGATGTAAGGCACAGAATTAGTGCGGGATGGATGAAATGGCGACAGGTCTCGGGAACGATATGCGACCCCCGAATGCCCTTGAAACTAAAGGGTAAAATTTATAAATCTATCATAAGACCTGTCATTTTGTATGGATCTGAATGTTGGGCCGTAAAAGGGATGGACGAAAGGCGTGTGCATGTGGCAGAAATGCGAATGTTAAGATGGATGTGTGGGGTTACACAGGACTGGCGTTGTAATGAGATGAGAGTATGCCATTTAAAATGATACCAGGAATGACAGAATAAGGAATGAGTATATACGAGGAAGTTTGAAAGTTGCGCCGGTTATAGAAAAGTTGCGAGGTAACAGATTGAGCTGGTATTGGCATGTTATGCGGAGGAATGAGGACCATGTCTTATGGAAAGTGTATAATATGAATGTGGATGGATGCAAAGGGAGGGGACGCCCTAAGAAAAGATGGATGGATTGTGTGAAAGATGATATGAATAAAAGAAGAGTATGTTTAGATATGACGATTGATAGAGATCAGTGGAAGAGAATGACATACTGCGCCGACCCCAAATAATGGGATAAAGGCAAGGCAATGATGACCAAAGGACAAAATTATTACAAAACTATTCAAATAATAATAATAATAAGAAATAATAATAATCTCAGGACAATTCACACAGCGCCATCTAGTCCCAAGTTAAGCTATATAAAGCTTGTGTTACGGGTACTAGATAACTGATACAAATACGTAGATATTTTTTCGTAAATACATACATTATACATACAACAATCATACTCATGAAAACAAATGTTTGTGCCGTGCGAGGAATCGAACCCGCGACCATCGGACATAAAGCGGTGTGCTAGACCGCTAGACCACCGAGGTCGTCAATTTAAAATTGCTCATATTCAAATTTATTATTATTATTTTAATTTCAATAAAATTGCTTGTATTCTATTCTATGTCCAAGCCCCGTATTTTCACTGCCATTCTCGTATCTCCAACCGACAGACAGCTTACAAAGCAGGTTGTTTATCTAGCCGATAAGACGAAATAAGACGAAGATGAGACAGAGGTACCTAAGTAGACTTTATGTCAACTCTCCCTCAGTAAAAGTGTCTCATTGTCTTCTATCTACACAACTATTGCTAGACACAAATTTTAAATTATTGATTTAGGATTACGTTCAACTAATCCACGTTCAGCTAATTGAAATAATATTATTCAACCACTTAATGATATTGGAAATAACGTTAGCCAATAAAATATAAATACAAACGATACAATGCAAGATCATGTGCCATTATAAAAAACAGGCATAAATATATTAATTATATATGCAGGAGTACAAGAAAACTCTTCAACTGACAAATACACTTTTACATTCATTTAGGATACGTGCAAGTATTTGAAGTAATATTATGCAACCACTTAATGATATTGGAAATAACGTTAGACAATAAAATATAAATACAAACGATACAATGCAAGATCAGGTACCATTATCAAAGACACGCATAAATATATTAAATATATATGCAGGAGTACAAGAAAACTCTTCAACTGACAAATACTCTTTTACATTCATTTAGGATTACGTACAAGTATTTGAAATAATAACATATATTTCAGCGCGGCTCATCGAGGTACCACCGAGAGCTGGTAGCTACTTTGCACAAAGGCTAAGTATGGCCAAAAGAATATTCAAAGAGGCAACGCTGCCAGTATTTTGGGTACGCTGCCTCGATGTGCCGCGTTGGATTACAATGATTATTTTTTGTGATTGTTTGTAATAGTCATACTTAGGATATATAAAATAAACAAAAACAGGTTTGAAATAATATTATATATATTCTTTATTGCATTTTTAAATACACTTGTGAACTTAAATATATACAGGGTGAGCAAAGGTGGACTTATCTCTAAAAGAGATCTCCAGTCAACCCGTAAGACGTAGCTATTAGTGACACAGTGGTAACACATGTGCAATTAACAATATTGTGTTGAAATGTCCAAAATTTTAAAAATAAAAAAACATTATCCAACCACATAATGATATTGGAAATAACGTTAGCCAATAAAATATAAATACAAACGATACAATTCGAGATCATGTGCCATTATCAACTGGTCTAGATGCGATGCAAACTGCACAATGCACAATATTATTTCGATCAATGGTCTTGGGACTGGCGTTGTATAAATGAGATGAGAGTATGCCATTTAAAATGCGTTGTATTTATATCAACACTTTTGAATAGAATGTGACTATTCAAAAGTGTTGATATAAATTCTATCACTTACTCGGAACGCAGACTCATCACAAGAAGAACGAGTAAATATGAAATAACGATACCGTACTGCAACTACAAAACAAGTCTTCAGAAATAGCATCGCATTGGGAGTACTATAAGAACTTTAAGAACATGGTGTTGTTTATGTATGTAAGGGACAGTTGCCATTCATCATCAGATGGACCGTCAGCTACTTAGCCATAACAATAATATACAAGAAAAATTTTTTGTTCTATCTACCATAGATAAGAAACTAAATCGTCGATTAAAGGACGGGGATAGTCAGCAATGTATACATTATACATTACATGGTACATTGCTAGCCGTTGCTACAGTATGTAGCAATCCAATTCAAGATCATGTGCCATTATCAACTGGTCTAGATGCGATGCAAACTGCACAATGCTCAATATTATTTCGAGCAATGGTCTTGGGACTGGCGTTGAATAAATGAGATGAGAGTACCCCATTTTAAATGGGTTGTATTTATTCAGTTGGCAATCGCGGGAACGCTAAGCATTCGCAATGTTGTCATATTTTCAAAACTATTTTTTTCTGCAGCTCTTTCGTTGCAAGAGAGAAATTTACTTTTAATCGTGTTGCTTTTGATGCAGTTTAATACAAGTTTTACGTTTCATTTTTGTTATTACTTCAATTTGTAAGTGTGACTGAATGAAGTGAATTTTGATTGTATTGTAAAATTTGATGATATAAATACATTAACGGCTATTCTCTTTGTTCGTATAATTAGTAAAAATCACGGGATCTTACCACGTTTTATATTTATTTATTGAGTTCCGATATTTCGGCAGTGTTTCAACCGCCATGCACCAATAAAAGCTTACGTAACAATTACAAACTGATTTTACCTAAATGTCGTTTGGCTAAAGTTAGTAATTCGTTTTACAATAAAATACCAGAGTCTGTTATAAATCTGCCAGAAAAAAGATTTAAATGTCAAATAAAACAGTTCCTTTGCAAAAAAGCTTACTATAAAATTGAAGAATTCGTTAATGATAATAATGTTTTTATAGAAAAAATTTAAATCCATAGCACTGACAATATTATCTGATTACACTAATAATGAGTGCGTAGCGATTTCTATGTTGATTATCGCATACCTCTTACTTGTTACACTGTAATTATTTATATAAAAAACATCTATTAAAAAGAGCAACACACAAATTTCTTGCTCATTCTTCTTGTAATGAATCTGCATTCCGAATGAGTGGTAGAATCAAAATATGACTATTCAAAAGTGCTTGTAATGAGTTCATTTGAATAAAGAGTATTTGTATTTCCATGATCACGGGTAAACTATGAGTTTAAGACAGGACGTGGTAAGATCCCGTAGTTTTTACTAATTATACGTATAAATAATGACTTCGTCAAATTTAAAACAGTATATTCTCTTTGTATGTCAAATAATAGTTAGAGGCATTGTCAACTGACTACGTTGTGGTAAATTTGACATGCCCACAATTCACTGGGTGTATTTGAATCCAATGTTGCAATAGATGGAACTCCCGGAGTCGGATAAATTGGTTTGTAATTGGTATCACTATTATCGGATTTCCAACACTGTGAAGAAACTGATTGTTTTTAATAGTTAATTTTAAACTTTCGTGTTTAATATACATTATTTAAATTATTAACCGGGTCTTCTGTGTGTCGCGAACTTTCGTTAAACAATCTGGTGACGGTAGATGATGATGATGACAGCAGTTTTTTCTTCATATTCAGCACCATTGCGCGTCCAAAATAAAAATCCACTGATGACCTATGTATCTAAGCTTCAAAGTAATACAGTACGGAGCAATGAATATCACTGTATCCGTAGCCAGCCATTGAAGTGTGCAGCACGTCGCGTTTTATTATTCTGAGGGAATATTTCCAATTTTGTCTCCCCTTATTCAATCTTTGAGAGTCGAAGATTTGCTGGCGGAATATCCTTTTGGTGAAATTGTGACGGCTGTTTTAATACCAGGCTGTGATTCTGGTATCGAGTACGAATGTATCCGGGGCTTAACCTCTTTACTGACAGTTTCCATTTGAGACATATGATCGATGGCCTCGGTGGTTTTGTGGTTAGCACACCGCTGTACTTGCGATGGTCGCAGGTTCGATTCCTCGCACGGTACATTTATATTCATGAGTATTATATAATAATTGTTTGGATCGGTCTGGATATTTTGTATGTATATGTTATACACGTATGTATTTATAAAAAATGTATCTAGCTATCAATTGTCTAGTACCCACAACACAAGCTCATCCAGGGCAATTCACACAGTGCATTTAGTCCCAAGTTAAGCAGTGCTTGACGCTTGTGTTATGGTTACTAAACAACTAATACAAATAAATAGATATATTTTTCTTTATAAATGAAAATACGTGAAAAGAAAGAGTTACAAACATCTAGAGTTATCATTGTTATTATATTTCACTATGTGAATAGTCCTGAGATAATATTGATATTCCATTCAATTCTACACGGCTTCGCACGGGTGTACATGTATTATACATATAAACCTTCCCTTTGTAAGACTTTATCTATTAAAAAATAGCCTCAAAAATCCGTTGTGTAGTTTTAAAGATTTAAGCATACATAGGGACGGACAGACAGCGACAGCGACTTTGTTTTATACTATGTAATAACGACTATACTAATTAAAAGAAACTCTAAATCGAGAGAATCTTACAAAATAACTTACTTTTAACATACTCATAAAACACTTATTACATAAACTTTGTAAAGCTCCTTCAAATAAAAAAAATCTTAAAAGTAATCTACTATCTACCCTCTACACTGCGCAGTTCTACACTTCCATTTTTTTTAATATTAAAGAGCCCTCAGACAGCCCTTGTTTCTTCAGAATATGTTTTCTGAGATTAAGTGCTTCATATAACGCGGTTATAAAACTTGAAGTGTATGTATAACAGAACCTTTATTTTATATTTATATTTATATATATATTTGGAATGACAATCAAACTGCTCGCCTGATGGTAAGTGGTCACCGTTGCCTGTATCTCATGTGTATGGTTTTTATCTCCTCAGAATATAGTGTTTACTTTCCAAAGGAGATATTCCGTTTATGCATGAGAGGGCTACAACCACATAGGATGTGGAATGTGTGCGTGAGGGACAAGAATTGAAGTATATTCTTAGAAGCGCTGGTTTTCATCTCAGGATCTCAGGATTTTTTTTTATTGTTCTAGGTCTGCTGTTTCATAGAGCAGTTTTGATGTCGGGCTCTGGTCTAAGTCCCTGGTCATTGGTGGCAGATCCCCAGAAATATGCAACAATTGTAGCAACACACGCCAACTGTTCTCCTGGTGAGTTAGATTGCAGAACTTTTTTTTAATTTAACCTTGCCTTACCTTACCTTACCTCCGTTTTTTTTCGTACTACTCTAATGCTGGTGGTCGTAGCTGGCCTTTACAACTTCACCGGACGATGGTTGCGAATTGGATTCCTCCGACGGTACAAAAATTTGTATTCATGAGTATGAATGTTTGTATGTAAAAAAAAATGTATTTATATATTTCCTTTGTTATATTTATAATAAATGTAAATATCAATTTATTAATTTTAATATCTTAATCCGGAATGGCTAAGCGTGAGGTATCATGGGTGTCACGTGATAATGTAATGTCGCACTGCTGTAAGCGCACTGATATATCTACATGATGTGTATCTGCGGTGGCTCTGTGGTTAGGTTATTTGCCATTCAAATTACATAAAAATATACGTGTTTGTATCATCACTTCAGATAATCAGTCAGAAAAATAAATAGCTACAGAAACATTTTTGGTTAACGACTAAATTCGAACTCGCTACTCTTTAGGTAATCAGGTAAACAATTTAGCTATATGCTTATATTAATTTCTTATTAAAAAATGTCTAATATTCAGTATCCTCTTTATATCATTACTTTCAATTGAAATATATCAAGTTTATACTTCGCTTATGGAAGAAATTATTAAATTTCCTAAGCCCGAATTTGTTTCTCATATATAATGAAGAAAAGGGACAACTTCTATATTAAATACATTTCAATTACAATAATAGGGTGTACGATTTGTAAGTATACATTAATTAATTTGAAAGTCTGTATTAAATTGAAATTTATGATTAACTAGCTATTCCCGCAACTTCGTCCGCGAGGAATTTCACTTTATTTTTTCTAAAATTAAAGTAAAAAAAGCCAAAAATAGTCCCGTCAAAGTTGATCCAGCCATTACAGAGATTAGCCGGAACAAGCAGACAGACAGATAAAATTCTAAAAAATGTTGTTTTGGTGATGTACCGTATTTATATTCATATGCATGTAGTAAAAAAGGTTATTTCTATATTACAAACAGACACTAAAATTTCATTTATATGTATAGATTTTTTTCGATCGATCTGTAATGGGCAGATGCAGCTAAAATCATTAGAATACTCCGAAAAAATCCATACCTATACTAACTTACTAGTGCTTCTAGGAAAAATCCAATTTTATTTATATATATAGATAGATTTGAAATTTGTAAAGATTGTCTTAAGTAGAAATACTGGCTGTTTCCTATTACAGTTTAAATAAAAACAAAATTATTCGAAATTCAACTTTCGCGCCAGTTTTTTACAAACTGTAGACCTACAATAAGAGTCACTGGCAGTTTTGTATACTCGTTCAAATATGTTCTTTTTATAAATTTGTTTTGTATACCGTTTTGTCACTAGCTCTTTTTTTTCGGACTACTCTTATGCTGTTGGCTGCAGCTAGTGGCAAACCAACATACAGCCCATCTGAAGGTAAACGGTTACTATAACCTATGAACCAGGTGTGTCACGTGCGCGTTGCCGGCTCTTAAGAAACCTTAATACCTTTAAACCTTCTTTCGGACATGAATTACATGTAGTGTATCATTTTCTTCAGTAAATTATTCTTAGTAATACTATACTATACTACTGCTCCATTACTACTGCTCCATTGCCGTTATTATATACCTATATTTATCTTCTAGAACTAACGCCTCCAGCTCTTCTGCGGTGCCTTCGGGAGCGGCCGTTGGAAGCGATATTGTCTGCACCTGTTCAAGCCCCAGACTTTGCGTACGCTTTCGGACCGAGTGTGGACGGTGTTGTGATAGGTGAGTTTGATTTATTTTGTGCCTTATTACAAAAAAATAATAATTTAATAATACCTTTAATTCTATGGTGATCAAATAATGTATTTACCATCCATTCTTTGTCTTCTATTCACGATCGATCACATGATCACACAACTCTGTAAAGTTTCCAAATTTATACTAAATCTAGAATAACAACAATTTCGGCATTGTGGAACTATAGTCTACCGGAATGAATACTATCTTTGGAATTTCTATTTTTTGACACAATTTTTTGACATTTATTTAATATTATCCCTTATTCTCGACTTTGCTTTTTTAGATGAATGATAGGGTAGTCTTTTCTCGTATTATAATTGCATTTTCACGTCAAATCTTATTTTCTTCATCTTTCATTTGAGAGTCACGGTGGTTTACACCATCAAGGGCTTTACTTTCGATGGTCGCAGGTTCATTTCTCACAGAATACAAACGTTTGTTTCCAAACCGTGTTTTCTGAATTCTTTATGTATATATTTATAGAAAAATGTATTAAATCAAGTATATATATAATTAAAGTATATAATATAAAATACATAAGTATATAATATAAATATAAGTATATAATATAAAATGTATTATATATCAGTTGTCTAGTATATATCGGGAAAGTGGCCAGAGGTCTACCAAAAAGATCTTAAATTATGAATGAATGTATAGTATAACATAAGCTCTGCTTAGCTTCGGACTAGATAACGCTGTATGAATTGTCTGACAAACAAACACAAATACACTGTACTATTTATAGTATTGTATATATATCGCACATGATACGTTGTATACCAATAATTTCACACGCAATTAACGATAAAACAAAAATCACGACGCAGAATAATATTCATGCTCGGCTACAACAATAAATAACTAAAACAAACGGAGATGTAATGAAAAAAAAAACAAAGATAAATAAAAGAGAAATCAGAGAATTCACAAGTTACACGGATAAAGGCAAACGTGCCGTGAATATTTAGTTAAGGAGGGGATAATTTCGCATTTTCCGTTACATCTGAAAATGACCAATCTTCCTGTTTACTACAGCGACCGAGTGAAACTTTCGAGGAATAGCCCTACAGGACAATATTAAGCAATACCTTAATTACACAAATAAATAAAAACTATTCCATTCTAAAAAAAAATAGACCCATCATCCTGTTGTACTTCCAAATGAAACTTTCAAGGAACCGCCCATCAGACGGAAATGAAGCAATGCCCTAATTATACAAATAAATGCATTAAGTACTTACTATAATATGTATTTTTCAAAAGAATAATATTATTAGTTTCTAGTTCTTCTCTATTGAAACTATATCGAAGATCGGTAGATAAATAAATGATATTTCCAAGGTATAACTTGCCATTTTCCGTTACATCTAAAAATGACCAATCTTCCTGTTTACTACAGCGGCCGAGTGAAACTTCTTCCGCCCTTCAGACGGAAATGAAGCAATGCCCTAATTATACAAATAAATGCATTAAGTACTTACTATAATATGTATTTTTCAAAAGAATAATATTATTCGTTTCTAGTTCTTCTCTATTGAAACTATATCGAAGATCTGTAGATAAATAAATGATATTTCCAAGGTATAACTTGTTATTTTCCATTAGATTTGAAAATGGACCCATCTTCCTATTTTAATCCCCCTTCCAAATGAAACTTTCAAGGTCTCGATTTATACAGATAATTTTAATATATATTTTTCAAAAGAATAATTTAATTAGTTTCAAGTTTTTCTCGATTGAAACTATATCGAAGACATGTACGTTTATTTATGTTGTATGTATAAATAAATGATATTTCCAAGGTATAACTTGCCATTTTCTATTAGATTTGAAAATAGACCCATCTTCCTGTTGTACTTCCACTTCCAAATGAAACTTTCAAAGAACCGCCCTTCAGACGGAAATTAAGCAATGCCCTAATCAAATAAGAATCGTTTATATTATTGAGTACTGAAATTAATTTCGTTTGGGCAGAACCAATTTCTGTGTTGCTGTTTTTCCTTTGTATAATATTCACATTAATATAATGTTTGAATAAGTAATTTAGCGCTTTATAAATATTATTTTAACATTATCTTATCCTTGGAAACATTATAAATGCTAAATTAACTCTATCTGTCTGTCTGTCTGTCGCGTTTTCTCGCCAAAACTACTGAATGTTGTAACAAAGGGGGGATGAAAGATTATATGGAATTAAAATCATTTTTAAAACTAGAAGCTTGAAACTTATTATTTTAGACTGTTGATTATATATAAATAAAGAAAAAGGGTTGTAAGGGGTTGAAAGGAGAGACATACAGAAAGGATGTACGGAAGGAAGTGATTCTTAAAGTTAAATGCTTGGAACTTATTTTTGAAGATGTTGATTAAATATGTAATATATAAATAAAAAGGGTTGTAAGGGGTTGAAAGGGGAGATGTACTTTAAAACTAGAAATTTCAACATAGAATTTAAATCCATTATCCTTATGAAAATTTGTATCACACAGAACACAATAAATACCTCAGATATATTTCTTCTTCACTACCGACTTCAAGAGTTCATAAAAATCCATTTTATTTATACCAACATAATACAGCAGAAAACATTGATAATTAGATGATCTTATTTTACCATCAGAATCATATATTATCTCTAATAAACAGAAACCTCAGAATATTTTCACTACTGGATCAGTATGATATTATCTTTAATGTATTTTCAAAAACCTTAGGAATCTGTAGGAAAACATTGTTAATGTCACTCAATGTGAGAAAAGATCTTTATATAGTGTTCGTAATGGAAATTTTTGACAATAGAGCAAGTGATATACCATAGTCTACGTAAAATGTGTGTGTCAACGTTTACGATTTTGTTAAATACCCATGCAAAGCCGGGCATGCAAAGCAGACCCTAGATGTTCTCATAATTATACTTGTGTCATACAGTTACAGATGTACATATATTGGCGTGATGAATAATTCTATGTACAATATAATAATTATATTCATTAACATTAACAACAAGAATAATGTTAACAGCTACTACCTACAATCTAGATAGGTCATAACTCCGTAGACCAAGTTTCAGAGAATACTCAACACTATAACCGAACTCGTCAATTGCCACAATATAACCGGCATCTTAGTGGTTAAACTATATAAACTTTATTTTAGCTGAAACTACATTCTTACTTTATTATATACTAGCTGCGCCCGCGATTTCACCTGCGTGAAAGTTATAGCATATATGTTATTCTGATGTATTATAGCTTATACATCAGAATACCATATTGTAGTACATGTGCCTCCAATGGTGTTTCAGGCGTCCATAGCCTTCAGTAACTGTTTACCATCGGATGTGCCGTATATTTGATTGCTACTATAGTTATATGAAAAAGTAAAAATCAGTAGTCAGTTCAAATCGATGAAGTCCTTTCAGATATTAGCGTCCGCAAAAGCACAGACGGATATATAAAAATTCCAAAAATGAACTTTTCTGGCCTCGTTAATTACTGATTATTAGCCAATTCGCTTGGGTTCATGATCAAGTGTATAGAACCATAGAAATATATTGTTGTGTAAACTTCATTCACTATCTTCGCCGTACAATTACATATTTCAACAAAAAAGAATCATAATAAATCTATTTATTGCCAATGATAATACAGTTAGAAATTTATAGCAAGGTTTTATGAACAGACAATAGATACAAACTCAGTTATTGACTGATGGGAGTCCAGAGCTGGTTTTTTTTAGTACCTACGCAGGCGTACCTAACCTGCAGAAACATGTTTTTTTTTAAATACAAACATAATTGATTGTTAGGGAATTTACTCTCTGCTACCAAAATGTTAGGTATATATATAGGGAAAAATATGTGGAAGCGTCGGTCACGTACCTGTATGGTTCTGTGGATTTCTTGGGCTTCAGGGTCTCGAAGGTATCTTCGCTAGCTTTATAGTTTCACAGTAGGTTTCACAGTAGGTTTCACACAGTTCTAATTTATTTTAATTCACAACACAATGCGCGCGCGCGTCATGTCCGCCGTACGTTCAGTTCAGTACTGTAGGTAAGGGAGGGGAACAGAAACCGCGGGAACACAAACTAACGGACTCTAATATAATAATATGTGCTTACGATGATACAGGGTAGATTTTGAACATTGATGATGATTTGCCTATTCTAATAGTAGCTATACCCTAGTTAGCACTGGCAGATATAAACGGAGAAAAATCTAAGACACCAAGAGAAATTCTTACATATCCAAGACAGAGTTTAATAATGTACAGCTCGCCTTATTATAAAGCTACTGTTGACTGTTGGAGGCAAGTTATTCTGCGCGGCGATACGACCGCTGTTGCTCCTACTTTATCCGGATTCTTTCCGGTTGTCAAGCAGGGCGCGTCCGAGTCGCGTTATTAAATTGTCTCGGCAAAGTTTTCTCATCTCGTCCTCTTCGAGCGTCGACATTTTCAGTTAGATCAGTTTGTTGTTGAACGAGGAATTTTTTTGATTCCTCCCCGCTGTCGCTTTGTTTTCCTATGAGGACAATTATTGTTCGGTGTTATGACTTTGTTAGCGTAGATTCGGAATTGGAATTTGGGCAAATAGATATTCTATCAAATGTATATTGTGATATTTTATAGTTTTAGTTTACGAAAAGAGGTAGCGTCTATTAGGTTACTGGCTAAAAGACAACAAATGATACATCAGATCATACGTTTTCGTTTACTTTCAACTTTCATAAATTTAAATTATTGTATATGCTACCATTCTTAATATTTCTGGACTATGCTACTCTTGATCTAGACTGATTTCAAGATAGGGTCTTAATTCAACTGTTCTACATCTTTATACATGAATTTAAACTTTATTATTACTATATACCAAAAGATTTATTACCAAGTTCTGAAGCTGGTCTCTTTATGTTTTTGTCAAGTTTATATTAGCTTAGTTTATTTGATATAATGTATTAATGTAGTTATATCAAATGATGTTGACTTATAAGTCCTTATAACTGTGCTTGCGTAAATTTTACGATGGCCGTTTCAAATCCTTCCCTAATCGGCCCCAGAGCTCAGTCCCACGGGTCTGCCTAAAATCCTTTATCAATGGCTATACAGATTATTTTGAGTAACTCCATCATCAAATCCCATAGGCCCAGTCAACCAACACAAGATACTGTAATAACATTACAGACTCTCAAAAAATAATACGCAGTACATTAAATAAATATTTTTAAATATTTGGTCATTTGCCTGTATTTTCGGCGATGAAATAAAAATTGTGTTTGAGAATAAAAACTAATAATAATAAATCGCTCTATCTATCGCTTATTATATACTAGCTTTTACCTGCGGCTTCGCTCACATTGAATCTATTAAATAACTTCATTACTGGGTGTTAGATGGCGCTGAATTAGCAAAGTGTTGAAATAGTATTTTTTTAAACTTCAATGGTATTATTAAGTATAACTCAAAATGGTCAGATTTAGAATTAAATTTATAAGCGACGACATGTAGTGAAGTTTAAATATAAATATTTTTTTAAATAAAAGTATATATTAATTCTATTATCTCCAAAAATATATGTACTTTCACATTTAGATATTAGTAAGGATTAAAGTAATTCACTAGAATATAGTGTCAACATAGTCACAATCGATAAAACATAATATCCCACTGACATATAATTTTCTAATATGAACGAAAAAGTACCGTTATTGTGACAAATAGGTACGTGTCGCCCAGTGGAAATGGATCGGACCTTAGGGTTTTGTAACGTCCATCACGATCTGTATTAAACATGACAAGGAGTTCCCGGTGGGTCACTAATAGGGGCCAATCTATAAAGCCATTTACTTTCGCTATCTCGACTTGTACGCTTCCAATCTTGTAAGGTTCAGACGTTGCGATGTTATAGAATTACAGTAAAAACTAGCAATTTGGCGTCAGTACATTCCTAGCGGATATATTTATTTGTTAGGGAAAATGATGATGATGATGATGAAACAGTGGCCGAAATCGATGATGTGTTATCATCCCGGCCGATTTCGGCCACGGTTTCGCGGACTACCTTCAACTCATACTATATTGTGGAAGCGTCTGTCTCGTACCTGTAACTTCTTAACACGTCTCGATGAGGTTTTCGCCAGTTTTCAGTTTACACAGTAGGTTGCAGAAGTTTTTCATTAATTTCAATATAGGAATAATACGCACGCGTTTTGGCGGCGGTACAATCTGTTATGTCATATGTAAGGGGTGAAAAGCGTGGGAACAGAAACTAACAGGCTCTAATATAGTCTGTGCTTATAACGAGTACAGAGTAGATTTTGAACATTATTTGTTTATTAATTTTCAAACGTACAAATATTATGAAGTTGATTATATATTGGACCGCATTAGGCGAACCTGTATCACGAGAGTCCGCAAAAGAATTGCCAGATAATTATTATGAACTATTTCAGATCAGTGAGTAGAGTAGATTTGACATATCAGACAAATTAAGATATTTTAGTTTGGTTTTATAAAAACATACCAAATCAATTGTTGATTACATAAAAATTAAACAAAATAAAATAAAAAGAGAAAATTTCAAGTACGTTCTTGCGATGATATATGCATAGTCCATTAAATTAACAATAATATTATTTATTTATTTATATATAAAAACTTCATGCACAAATATAAAACAAATTAAGGTGCATATGACGGACTTAACACCATAAGGCATTATCTCCCAGTCGACCATAGGGCAAACAGAGATTAGTGGGCGGTGCATTTAAGTAAATAATAACATGAAATAAACAATAAAAGGAGGAAGGTACAATTATAATAAAATTCATAAATTGAAATATATATATATCCAACTACATAATATATTTATTTTTCTCCACAAAAACATACATAATATAAAGTGCTGCAAAACCTTTGAGGCATGTAAAATTCCATGCAAAAATACAGAATTGTGGAGAACTGGTGCCTGTACTAGGTATCCGAAGAACCTATGTAACTGGTTACCAGGTCCCCCCACTAGATCTTACATTCTAAAATTTATATGAAGGATACAGCTACTATATTCAAAGGTACGGAGAATATTATGTAGTGAAAGAACAATATAATTTAGAGATACGTTAAAAATGTAAAAGTATCCAACAGAGACAGAATAATATGCTACGAATAAATTTTCTTTTAAACGTAAACTACGGGAATATTATTTGAATTTATAACAATATAATCTCTTTAGAGATACGTATATATTTAAATGTTCTGTTTATATTTTGTTGCATTTTGTTTATGTTTATAATTTTGCACCGCCAACAATATGCACTGCCAAATGGTTGACAGAGACAGAATAATATAAGATAACGTAATTAGATATTTATTTAACGTATGTACTGGATATACTTAAATCACATACATTTTGCGCACACTTATTTGTGACCTAACCTGTTTTGCAGGAAATCGGTAAATTCAGTATTGGTTAGAAAGTTAGTGTGACGTTAGAAATAAGAAGTCGAAACAAATAGAAATAGAAATAATTTTTATTCAAATAAACTCATTACAAGCACTTTTGAATAGTCATATTTTGATTCTACCACTCATTCGGAATGCAGATTCATCATAAGAAGAATGAGCAAGAAACTTGTGTGTTGCTCTTTTTAATAGATTTTTTTTTATATAAATAATGGTTCAAGGCGTTTATTTATTATATTTTTTATATTTATATAATTATATTAATACGCGAAGCAAAAACTTTTTACCCCTCTTTATGAAAATTGTGCGGACGGACGAGTATGAAATGTTGCACACTTATCATTACACAGTATAAAATAAAGTCGCTGTCGCTGTCTGTCCGTCCCTATATATGCTTAAATCTTTAAAACTATACAACGGATTTTGAAGCGGTTTATTTTAATACATAGAGTGATTCCACTTAACTTGACGACCTCGATGGTCTAGCGGTCTAGCACACCGCTTTACGTCCGATGGTCGCGGGTTCGATTCCTCGCACGGCACAAACATTTGTATTCATGAGTATGATTGTTTGTATCGGTCTGGGTGTTTTCTATGTATAATATGTATGTATTTACGAAAAAAATATCTGTGTATTTGTATCAGTTGTCTAGTACCCATAACACAAGCTTTAGCTAGCTTAACATGGGTCTAGATGGCGCTGTGTGATTTGTCCTAAGATTATTATTGTTATTCAAGAGAAAGATTTATATATATAATACATGTACACCCGTGTGAAACCGGGGCGAGTAGCTAGTAGCCTATAAAGAGAAGGAGTGCAGAATGCTAATATTTTTTTTATAAATTACGTGTAAAAAATACATGTAATCAATAAATATAATATTACAGATACTACCATGTGTTTGACACACATATACACACACATACAGATAGACTTTGACTTTAGAAACTTAATAAAGATTAAACTTCTAATTTAAATTAATTATGGTCGAAATTCGACAGTTAGGTGACCATTAGTTAAAATGAATAGGTTTTGTTTATAATACAGACAATTGAGGTTTAATTAAGAAATAAAATTATATTCGAAAATTCATAACACTTATGAAATTACATCAAGATATAAAAGAGGTAAATACAAAGTACATAAACAATACGGTTTAGTGGAAGTGGAACATTAACTGGAAGCTGTACAAAGAGAAGACGAGTTTTAGGCAGTTAAAGAATATGATCCAATGAATTTCGTGAGAAACACGGGAGAAATGAATGTGCTTTATAGGTGTACAAAACAAATATACTTACTTGTACACTTGTTTAATTCTTTATTTCAGTAGCATATTACGATTTTTTGAGGAATTATCATAATTGTGTTATCAATATTTTTGTGGACTAATGCACTTACCTATATAAAATATGAATATATATCAACATTTTTTCTTCAACAGATACTGGGGATTTGCTAATAAGTCCAGAAAATGGCTACGAGTGGGGCGGCCAGACTATACCACGTGCGCCTGTTGGCAGACAAGCTCAGAACGCTATCAACATCATCAATGCTGTCCTCATGAGGAAGAGTTCTGTTGCTCAGCTTACCAAGTACGTATGCTTATTATTTTATGCAATCATATTTACAATCACAATTTTAGGTATTTATTACATTACTACATGCTACATTCATTTGGACTTTCACAAGGAGCAAATCTGAGCCCCATACGTTTTAACTTTGAACAATTCACATAACATCATCTCATAAACTAACCAGGACTTATTCCATAGTATAAAATACATGACACATTTTTTTTTAAATTCAAAACAACAGCTTTATCACAGCAAAAACAAACTAAACACAGCTTGTGTTATGGGTCCTAAATGACTGTTAGATATACTCAGATATATTCTAGAACGTGTGTTACTTTTCTATCATGTGTCATGTGTGTATCGGCGGTCTAGTGGTTTAGCACACCGCTTTACTTCCGAAGATCATGAGTTCGATTCCTCGGAAGGTACACACATTCATGAATATGAATATTCAGTCTTAGTGTTTTCTATATACATATATTACGTATGTATTTACAAAAATATGTATTTAAGTATTTATATCAGTTATCTAGTATCCATAATGCAACCTCTACTTGGCTTAGGACTAAATGTTGCTATGTGAGTTGTAATAAAAAAAACTAAAACACCATTCTCATTATGAGATCCAATTTGTTTATCGGTCAGCGACCGTAAAAACACACTATTAACTTTACGATGAAAAAATATTAAAGTCCTACAAAACAAAAGCATTAATTAATTTTAATCTTTATGTAGGATCTCGACTAAATTGTTGTAGAAACGGGCCGATTGTTCGCCGATACGGCATTATTCTCGATTCTTATTTGTTATGCAACTGTAAATGTTTTATCTTTATTTATATCCGAAACTACGCTATATTTTTTATTATGTTCTGCAGAGCTTGTACTAAGTACTCGTTCTTCTGTGTGTGATGAATCTTCCAGGTCTATGACTATTCAAAAGTAATGAGTTTATTTGAATAAAGATTTCTATCTTTCTATCTATCTTTTCGCACCTAAGTTAGACATTATTTTCTTTACATAAGCATGTTTTGATATCGTATACTGCTTCCGCGTTGACGCTTACGGTATACGCTCGCTTTAGCAAATAACATTGTGGTTTGGTTTACGTTTGTTTAGATGTTTGGATTGAATTGGTTATTGAATATGATATTAGAATTATATCGAATATCATCTTTTTTAACGTGGAGAAAATATTCATATATCTGACCACCGATCTGTGGGAACGTGTGGGACATATTATGTGTTATATATATGTAAATGCATTTGAAAATACATATATACAGTCTCAAAAAAATGAAAAATATTTTACCTACGTGTCTGTTTGTTCGTACTAATCTCTGAAATGGCTGAACAGATTTTGATGAGACATTCACTTTGTTGTAACTGGCTAATAAAGAAATGTTTTATATTCTAAATTTGTATTTGAATTTATAGTTCTTTTATATTACATTCTTGTTTTTTGATACTTCAATTCCTTCTTTCTATTCCTAATTGTCAGTAGGCTATATTAATATATTTTCTCCGTTTACCTAGTCTTTTTTCTTATTCCTACAACACACTTGCATATAGCTAATGTTATAAGGAGTAACTTAGGTATTTTTAAATTCGATTTTTTTATTTATTTTAATAAAAAAGCTATTGTCTAATAAAGTCAATCTCTTACAGATACGATCTAATGCTGGGCGTAACAAAAGCGGAAGCATATTTCGCCTTCAGTGGGGATGACGTCCAATACGGCATAGAGGCAGACCGCAGATCAAAAATACTGAAGTCCTTTGTTAGGAATACATACAGCTACCATTTATCAGAGATACTTGCTACCATCATTAACGAGTACACGGACTGGGAGAGGCCGGTTCAACATCCTATAAATATTCGGTGAGATTATATCATTAATATAAATACGAGAGAAAAACCTTTGTACCCCTTTTTACGAAACCCGGACGGAGATGTATGAATCTTCGCACACTTATAGTTCATATAGAGATGGAGTGCAGAATGATAATATTTTTTTTAATTGTGCATAAAAAATACATTGAATCATTAAAAAAAAACATTAGACACAGTACTCCCCTTTTAACGAAAATCACACGGACGGAGATGTATGAATCTTCGCACACTTATAGTTCATATAGAGAAGGAGTGCAGAATGATAATATTTTTTTAATTATTCATAAAAAATACATTGAATCATTAAAAAAACATTACACACAGTATCCCCCTTTTTACGAAAATTTCGCAGACGAGGAGTATGAAACATCGCACTTTCATAGTTCATATAGAGAACTCCTCTAGAATGATATGATATGATCTCCTGCAGAATGATAATATTTGTTTTTTAAAAATCATTAAAAAAAACATTACACATATTTACATTATCTCACATGACTGACAAAACATGGAGTATGAAACTTCGCACTCATATAGTTTATATAGAGAAGGACTGGAAAATGCAAATATTTTTTTTAAGAATCATTAAAAAAAACATTACACATGTTTACTTTATCTCACACGACTGACAAAACGCCAATGTCAAATATTGTTAATCAAATCATGGAAACTAGGTTTGATTCTGTGCTGTTATCAAAGTAATCTATATTATAATACGTATGAAGCAAGTTTTTGACAATAGATACTTAATTCACACTTATAATTTTTTTTTTTAATAAGTATAATTGTAATATGTAATTATTTAAATTAATTTTGGTCAAATTTCGACCACTTAGCTTAATAATTAAAATAATTACTATTAAGATTAATGCAGAAAGAATATCATATACTTTCATAAGACCATCCTATCATAAGAACTTTGAAAGTATGGTCAGTGACACATTCTTTGTTGATAGCCGTCCGCGCCAACTAGCCTCTAATTGATCAATAAACATCTATCTGAAATTATTGAAGTATCTTTCAAATGGCGAAAGAATCTTTCAAATAAGTGTAGTAAGACCGGAGATTGTAATCACTCTTTATGATTACACGTGTCTGTCACCTGAAGAGTCATTTGCCAATCCAACAAATATATCTTGTAGAAAACACTCTGAAATTATTTAAGGGTCTTTCAAGTGGTGTAATAATCTTTTAAATTTAGTAAACTACAACTATTACGTGACTTAAATATTACGTGTATCCTTCAAGTCGTTTACTAATCTATTGTAATATTGGAAACACAAATACTAACAGGGAAATAAGACGCAAAACTTTTATAAAACACCAAAACCTGTTCGATCGTTGGCTCTCAAAGTATAAAGGCAATATATTTTGCCAAATATTAACGGATTTAATGCTCAAAAACTTCCCGTTCGTGTGGATTCGAGCCAAAAATGTATACTGAACTGCGGCACTAATATTTTGTTAAAGAAAAAAAGCGGAGCCACTTTGCACAGGGTTGCCAGTGCCAGGAAAACGTTGTAAAGTACACAATGAGAATGAAAATTAATATTAATTTTACGGTTCGTTAAAATTAGTAAGGCTTTTGTTGTAGAAATGTGGTGGTGGCGCACTGAGAGATTATTACGGATTTAGAGGAACAGTGAATTGGAATGAGTCTACTTGTTACTGCATGTATAGGAAATCTCATTTCTTCATCATCGTCATCATCTGCTTCTTCCTTATCCCATTTATTTGTGGTTAGTGTAAAATGTTTTTCTTTCTCTTCCTTGTATAGGAAATTTACTTTTGTTTTCTTTTTTTTAGTATTGTCATCGTTATCGTGCGTTTATCCCATTATTTGACGTCGGCAGAGTACGTCATCCTCGCCATCAGTTCCTTTGAGCTGCCATATCTGAGCGTACTCTACTTTTAGAATACCAGCGCCGAGACAGTTAGCTGTTACGGCATATGCTGCGTGTCGGCCATGTTGCCAATCGTAAATTCTTATGTGTATATGAGTGTCCGTGTATTTATATGTGCATATATATTATATTTTATAATGGTTGTCAATAAATGTTGTTTCTTTTTTATGCATATCATTATCCATCCATCCATCTTTTCTTAGTCTTCTCCTTTCAATATTAAATGCATAACTTCTATAAATAATAATCCTCACAGAAATGTCTGCATGACATATCCACACCAAGACAATCTCTTCTTTATTACTAGTTCAAGTTTCAGATTTCCTCGTGCATACTTATTCTTACCATATTATGTGTACTTATATTATTATTCTTACTTTCTTACATTCTTCTTCTGATATGACCAGTCACCTCACACATCAACATTGGCATCAACTATCATGGCAATAGTGGTTCATGCATGGTATTTTTATTTCATTAAGTTCATTCAAAACTCAAGTTCCCAAGGCTGTTTCTAGTCCAATCAGATTAACTCTAATTCCATATAATATGGAATTACCATCTAACTTACATATTCCATATTATCAGTTTAATCTTGACTATTGATTAGTGTCTATTGATGTTATATTCAATAAAAAATATATATTTATTTATTTATATAACTATAATTCACAAAATAAATGTAAATGTACATATATACAAAATGATTATCATTTTCAAAGACAATAATTTTTTTTTGTTGGTATTATTGTACTGGGATTACTATTATTCAATTACTATTTAATATAATTATTATTTAATTTTTTTTTTTAAACCATAAATGGTAATTAATTATTTATTTTTTATTTATATATACTTTTTTGTACTCACCCTTTGATTACTATTATAGTACAACTTGATTTATTAATAAAAAAAATTACAAAAGTAATTTCGTAAAGAGGAAGGGGGGGGGGGGGGAGGCGATAAATAAGATTTCTTGTAACAGCCCTATCAATTATGAACTAAGTAACTCCAAAAATTATATCGCAAACGGATACCGCGCAACCAAAACTTTTAAAATGTACAACATCGCCCACGGGTTTAATTTATTAAATTCGTTTTTTGAGGCACTTTCATTTGAAAGCCGCGTTGAAATTAAATATCCATTTCGAAAAGTCAAAACAATATTCATTGTCGGTGTCCTATTCTAACAAATCCTTTTTAAATCACGGGATAAGCATTACAAATATTTTCCGGAATTTGTTGGCTATCATGTTAAATGGTTCTTATTTTATACTTACTTTTAATAACAGAATTGTCATAAATGAAAAAGGGTATTTTTTTTGGTAAAACAGAATGTGAGTATTTTATTGTTACAAAATATATAACTTGGTATACAATCATCGCTTTTAACCATTTAAACTTAGAAGTCACAAACGGGTTTAAATTATACTCAAAGAATTTCAGTAAATATGAACCAGTTAAAAGTAAACATACCTCGACTTTTTAGAATTCAGTCTAATTTTACAAATGAAATAAAAAAAACAAAATAGCTCTTTTTATCTGTTTGTTTCTCAGATTACTTCTTCTGAACAATGAATGCAACAAATTGCGATAAGATAATAATTTAGTAAGCTTTAAAAGTCAAGGCAAAATTTCGATTGTAAGTATTAATAATGATACGCCACAAAGCGTAAAAAACAGCAAAAGCTAAGAAAATGAGTCAATAGTGAAAATAATATTAAAACTCTTTAGTGTACACAAAAAAAAATTACAAAACAAACTTAATATAAAAATATATTGACAAAATGTGACCTTACCACTCAAAGCAATCTCTTACAGACAATGTGGAAGTATTGCTATCGTACAAATGTGAGCTAAGACTCAAGGTGTCTGGAAAGTAACTCTGTCTGTCTGTCTGTATCGCTTTCACGAAAAACTACTGAACCGATATAAATGAAATTTGAAAATTTTTCTTGAAGTGAAAAAAGGGTTGTAAGGAGTTGAAAGAGGAGATGAAAGATTGTATGGAAGTATCGTCATTTAGAAGCTTGAAAATTATATTTAGAGCTGTTGATTAAATATGACATACAAAGTTTGTAAAATTATACCCTTATATAAAATAGGGGATGAAAATTTGTATGAAAATTCATCATTTTTGTAGCTAGAACGATGAAACTTTTTTCTTTAGTTTTTTTGGGGTTAGATTATGAAATATTTTTTTCCCAAGGTCACTATTTCTCGCGGACGAAGTCGCGGGCACGGCTAGTAATTTATGAAATTAACAATTTTTATTTTGCATCCAATATTTACAATTTAAATTGTTCCCTGGTACCTAAACTAAGTAGAAACTTGTATTTTAGGTACTAGTTCCCTCCTCTTACAGTTCACAATGGTTGAAATTACAATTTATAAAAAGACAATCAAATAAGATATTAACTCAAGCTTATCATTTACTTGCAAAGTGTCTGTGTATGTATGTGTGTGTGTGAGAGAGAGGATAAGATAAGAAGAAGGAGAGATAAATATTAATACGGGGACACTAGTGTTTCAGTATTCATACTCAAGTGGTTTTACTTATCATTTACTTGCAAAGTGTCTGTGTATGTATGTGTGTGTGTATGAGAGAGGATAAGATAAGAAGGAGAGATAAATATTAATACGGGGACACTAGTGTTTCAGTTTTCATACTCAAGTGGTTTTACTTATCATTTACTTGCAAAGTGTCTGTGTATGTATGTGTGTGAGAGAGAGGATAAGATAAGAAGAAGGAGAGATAAATATTAATACGGGGACATTAGTGTTTCAGTTTTCGTACTCAAGTGGTTTTACTTATCATTTACTTGCAAACTGTCTGTGTATGTATGTGTGTGTGTGTGAGAGAGGATAAGATAAGAAGAAGGAGAGATAAATATTAATACGGGGACACTAGTGTTTCAGTTTTCATACTCAAGTGGTTTTATTTCTAAAGAATATCTAGTAATTTGCATAGACAGAGTTCTCATGATAATTTTGTTGTTACAAAGGGATGAAACACTGGAAGCACTCAGCGATGCGCAAGTCGTCGCACCTATTGTGCTTACCGCAGACACGCATTCAGCATTACGACGGAACTCGTATCTGTACGTGTTCGACTACCAGAGCAAGTTTGGAGACTACCCTCAGGTAATATTCCATATTCCAATGTCTACCAGTTTCTGAACTATCAATTTAATTTGAATATTAATCTAACTTCGCCGCTGGCGGAGGTAGGCATGGAAAATTTCTAACAAACCAAACATTGATGTACCGATGTAATAGAGATATAGTCCTGAATATATTTGTCATCTATATAAACTGAATATATTTGATAAACAATGTCATCTATATAATTACTTTCAAAATTTCTAACAAACCAAACATTGATGTACCGATGTAATAGAGATATAGTCCTAAATATATTTGATAAACAATGTCATCTATATAAACTTTGCGTGGTTTGTCATAACCATAGATTGTTTAGGTTATAGACAACTTCTAATTTATGCAACACTAGCTGTGCCCGCGATTTCATCCACGTTAAATTTAATAAAAGATACAGCCTATGTGTCATTCCGATGCATAAGCTATATTACTATAAACTTTCATCAAAATTCTTTCAGTAGTTTTTGCGTGATACTCACAAACTTTCGTGTTTATAATATTATTGAGATTTATTAACATGTGTATAATCTATAGTAGTTTTATTACAATATATATGTGAAAATGTGTCCATCAGTTCCTTATCTTTCACGAATTAATAACTGTATCTCAATGGTGAATGAAATCCTTATCTTATCTTCTCTCTCACGGTGAACGCGAAGGTAAAGAACGGATATATATTTTATTCTAAAAGAGTTATTAGAATATTTTACATTTATATGATATATATCTACTATATATATATACATCCCTGGTATATAATATCCCTGGACAATTCACCCAACGTTATCCAGTTCCAGGCTAAGCAGAATAATAATAATAATAATAATAAATTTATTGATTATATATATTATAATTAAATATATTGATATTGATTTATCTGATTTTTTTTATATAATACTGTGGGTAATATAATAAAACAAACAAAAAATATAAAGAGATACAGAGACAAATATAGTGGATTAAAGGATAAGTGACGAATGTATACTGTGGGTTATGTCACGTTTTCTCTATCATGTTACACCATAATACCTCAATGTACTACAGCGTAATTTTTAATTTATTTTCTTTATAATCATCTGCTTCTTCCTTATCCCATTTATTTGTGGTCGGCGTAATATGTTTTTCGCTTCCATTCATCCCTGTTCGCAGTCATCGCGTTATTTATTTTGTAAATACATCCTTTCTTATCACAAAATATCATCTTTCACACAATCATCCAATAATCTTTTTTTTTCCTCTGCCCTTATAACCATCCACATTCATATGTAACACCCTTCTTAAAATATTATCCTCGTTCCTACGCATTTATATGTCCATACCATGATAGACGATTACTCTTCAAAAGGCCTCTCTGACACCGGTGCCACTTTCATCACTTCCGTTTGTCTAATGTATTCATTCTTTATAATACTTATCCATTAATAGCACACCACACATCCAAAGAGATCAACATTCTCATTTCAGTTGCATATATATTGCATTCATCTTTCATCCGTCGCCTTTACACCATAATACCTCAATGATCCATAATTTATTTTCTTTATAAATAGTTCTTAATTCATAGTATACCCCATACAGAAATCGAACTCAAACATCTTGAGACTTAGACAGAACTCTTGGTATATCTTCCATTATTATTTGAACCCTGTTAATTCACTAGACAACGAACATGTAGATGCTAACGTACGGATAAACCTAAAAGCGGCTTATGACCAATCTGTATCATACCCTTAAACATAAAAGCACCTAATTACCCCACATTAATCCCCTATAACAAGGTATACAATATGTATTTTACTGACGTAATTTCCGCACATGTACGATTTCGGTACGATCAACTAACTTCATTTTAAGCAAAGTAATTATAGACTCGGCAATATGCGAAGACATGTCAGACACAGTAGTTTGCTCTCGATGAGGGATCTCGCTGGAATGGTCGCTCCGGTAGTAGAGGATGTCGCTCCATTTTATAAGGGTTCGTCGGATGTAATGATTATTACTGGGATGGAGGTCTGGATAGAATGGACGGTGCGGAGGCAGAAGAGCCTGTTATTAATAAAGACTGAAGTCAAGTTACTCCGTTTGCCTCGATAGACGATAACTAGATAGCAACCCAATAATGGTCAGAAATAGACAGTAAATTGATACTAGAAAATTGGTACTGGGCTAATTGACGTTTCGGACTTTTAATTAACTAGGTTTACACGAGCCGTGTATAGTAGTGGAATGTGAACAGCGTAGATAGAGAGTGTAGTGAGTATAAAACTGTTTTGCTATTCTTTATATATGACTAGCTATCGGCCCCGCCTTCGGACGACTGTACATACATCTATACATATAAATAAAATTGGAGTGTCTGTTTGTAATATTGAAATATCCGTTTTACTACATGCACATGAATATAAATACGGTACACCAGAATAACATTTTTTTTATAATTTTTGTCTGTCTGTCTGTTTGTTCCGGTGAATCTCTGAAATGGCTGGACCGATTTTGACGGGACTTTTTTTGGCTAGTAGCTGATGTAATAAGGTATAACTTAGATTACTTTCATTTTTGAAAAACAAAGTTAATTTCAACGCTTCGTCCATTAAAAAATAAAACAAGATTTATACATACAATGTAATTAGTCTTTAATTAAATTTTCTATTAATAAATAAACCTTAATTAATAGAAATAAATGAATAGGCTATAAATGAGGTTTATAATAGTCGTAATTAGACGATTGATACTAATGAGCATTTCTTATTCAATCTTACTCAAAGATCTGTTACACTGTGTTTGCAGTAACACTTATATCAAAAGGATGGGTGACCATATGACCTAAATCGTCGTGTGTCTAGGAAAATTATTGGTAGCAATGGAGTTGTTAGTCCACATTACTAACAATTCCCTTCGCCCATGTACTATGTGAGTTATTCAAGGTTGTTAATTACTATTTTAAACATATGGCGAATCTATTAGGAAAATCTCTTCATTGTTATAATAAAAATGATATAAAAATCTAACCTAAAAAGCAAAAGAAAAAAGTTTCATCAGTCTAACTTCAAAAATGACGAATTTCTAAACAAACTTTCAACCCCTATTTTACCTCCGTAAGTGTAACATTTTTACAAACTTTGAATCTAATATTTATTTATATTCAATCAATAGCCTAAAAAATAAATTTCAAGTTACAACCTTTTATGTCCTCTTTCAACCCCTTAAAACCCTTTTTTTTATTTATATTTAATCAATAGCCTAAAATATGAGTTTTAAATTACTAGCTTTAAAAATGATGATACTGCCATACAACCTTTAATCTCCTCTTTCATCCCCTTACAACCCTTTTTAAATGTGTATCAAATATCAATAAAATTGGTTTAGTAGGCGTGAAAGCGAGAGAGATAGACAGATTTGCTTTCTCATTTATAATATTCGTAAATATAAATAGATAACACCGAAACAATGAGTCAAAACACACCCCTTACGTTATCAAGCAAATATGCCACTATTTCAGTACACAATAATCCAATTTCATGCGATATACAATATTAAGCGATAGTATTTACTCGTATTTACCTTTACCTATAATAATCAGAAGATATGAAATGATTTCCTATAATAGATTTATTTTCCTTATTTGATATGAACATAGTGAATGTAGTATACAAAACTATTACATTCTTATTATTAATGTAACATAAGTTTTGTTTAAAAATAATATGTTTAATATATTTCTATTATATTTAAACAAGTCACATGTTTATTTTATTGTTATTAATGTAACTTTACTTTTCTTTAAAATTAAAATATAATATAATTCACACAGAGCCATCTAGACCCAAGTTAAGCTAGCTAGAGCTTGTGTTATGGGTACTAGATAACTGATACATATACATAGATATTTTTTTTTGTAAATACATACATATTATACATAGAAAACACCCAGACCGATACAAACAATCAAACTCATGAATACAAATGTTTGTGCCGTGCGAGGAATCAAACCCGCGACCATCGGACATTAAGCGGTGTGCTAGACCGCTAGACCACCGAGGTCGTCGTATGTTTAATATATTTCTGTTTTATTTAAACAAATCACATATTTGTTTATTTTATCGATTCATTTATTCGTTTATACACAGATATTCATAGTTGGTACAAAAAAATGTTAATTACTATAGAAAAAAATTGCAAACACTTGTGTAATACTGCGTATATATATGTGAATATTGTGAATACATTCATAACTGAATAATTAATCTGAATTAGCAAAGTTATATTAAAAAAACATATTTGTTTATAGTATGTATAGATTTCACTCTATCATTTTGTATTTTTGGGTCTCACAGAGTTTTTATTGTATACTAGCTGTACCCGCGACTTCGTCCGCGTGGAATAGACGACGAATAGCGAATTTCTATACCTACTTTCATCCCTTATTTTATTTTACCCACTTTGTTTTTAAATAACCTTGATTATTCTTTTGATTATACTTAATTAATGTCTAAAAATATGTTTTAAACTTTTAGCTTTATAACAATACAACCTTTCATCTACCCTTTCAACCCTTTTTACGCATTACAAAGTAATCTACATCCCTTCTCAAGTTCTAGACTATCTATATACCAAGTTTCATTTCGTTTCAGTAGTTTTGGCGTGAAAGCGTGACAGACAGAGTTACTTTCTCATTTATAATATTAAGTAAGGATTGAAATATACTTTGTGGAAACATCTGTTTACGATATTTTTTGATATAATATAGTCAAGAGTCGTAAACAAGGTCAAAAATTATTAAGTTATATATTACTTAATAATTTACTACTTACTATCTACTTTCGGATACATATGGTAATCGATATTTTTACTTTTATTCTTTCCATCCAGTTTGACTAGATACTTCAGTTTTGAAAAGAACTGGCAATTTATCTAATTTTTTTTTTATTTTTATTTTACAGTCTCAACCTTATTTTCTTTTGATAAGTTAATAGAATAGTTTTAGGATCAAAGAAAGTGGCTGTCGCTGTCTGTCCGTCCCTATGTATGCTTAAATCTTTAAAACTACGCACCAGATTACGAAGCGGTTTTTTTAATTGGTACAGTGATTCTAGAGGAAGGTTTATATATATAATACACGTACACCTGTGTGAAGCCGGGCGGATAGCTAGTAGCGAATAAAACATATTAGAATATGCCGTATAGAATATTACGATATAATTATATAAAACTTTATACGTTTTAATCTTCTCCATAGAGTTTTCATGAAGCTATTCTTTCTTTATGGTCATCAAATATTTTAGTGTCGTATGTTAATAGCTCGTAGAAGATCGTAATAGTCAACGAACTCGACTTATACCGGAAAGTAGAGAGTTTGAATGTGACTAACACCAAAAAGGTTTTTTTTAATACCAGCTACATAGCCCATATCATAAATACCTTTCTACATACATAAAAAACCACTATCATACATAAAAAATAATAATAAAGTATAAATTCAAATTGTCTCTATGGTCAGGGCACTGACGACGGCAATCTGCCACGGTAGCGCAGATACACCACCCCCTTCGGCCTGTCAGTTATCTTTCATAATAATCTATATATATATATGAAGGTTTAAACGGTGATAAAAGATAAAGAAATTGCATGTAAAATAGTAAAAACAACAATTTTATTTTCCCATACAAACTGCTGATATCTGTAAATCTGGGTGTGTTCAGAAATTTATTACTTAACTAAACTTCAAAAACACACATCCCTGGTGTTTCAGGCGTCCATAGCCTACGGTACCAAAAGATGGGCCGTATGCTTGTTTGCCAACTACGTGGTATAAAAAAAACATTTTTGAGGCAGTAACGAGTTCGCGGGGTCAGCTAGTGTGTAATAATAAATATGTTTTTTATGGCGTCGATGAACTATTTGTTACTATTTTTTCTAATTTAATGTTAGTAATGTAGCACTTTTGAATAGCCATCTATATAGATGATATAGATATAGAGATAATTATCACATGCTACAACATCTATATGAGATGTCTATCTAGAATCATTCGGAAAGCTGTCTCATCACAAGAAGAACAAGCAATAAACTTGCGTTGTTGTTCTTTTAAATAATCATTGTAACTTTACATTTCCAATTCGAAACGTGAGAATACAAAATACAGTGGTTACTAATTGTTAGCCTAACAAAATATTGTATCATTGATACACTAGCTTGGTACTAGATGGCGCTGTGTGAATTATCCAGGAATGTTATTCATCATCATCATCATCGCAGCCCGGAAGACGTCCACTGCTGGACATAGGCCTCCCCCAAAGATCTCCACGACGATCGGTCCTGCGCTGCTCGCATCCAATGCCTTCCAGCGATATTGACCAGATCGTCGGCCCACCTTGCTGGAGGCGGATCTCCTCATTTCTGATTCGATCACTCAGATTAACTCCGAGCATAGCCCTCTCCATTGCCCTCTGAGTGACTCTGAGCTTGTTCATGGGGCCCATAGTTAGCGACCACGTCTCTGTGCCGTAAGTCATCACTGACAATACACATTGGTCGTAAATCTTTGTCTTGAGACTGCAGAAATTTGGACAAAAACGGAATGTTATTATGATATATCATATATTATAAAAAAATTCATATTTAATAGATCAAACAGACTTCATAAACCGATAAGCCACTCCTACTCCTATACAAGTTAATAAATCTTTTGGGTTCTCACTGTCAATAGCAAGCCTGGGTTTAAACTTGAAATGTGGAATAATTATATTTGCGAGTATAACTCGGTGAAATTCCAATGTTATTAAAGTTTGTTCTTGTTGGACTCTTTGATATTATAAAATCGTTGCTATAACCTCATATTTATTAGATAAAGTTACAACTAAGTCATTGGGCTCCACAAAATATGGTCGAGCGAAGTGATGGCTGGCTCATCCGTCATGCTCGTGAACGAGTGCTGCTTGTAGAGACTGGTCTGCTCTTATCACTACGACTGATATAATCTTGAGTTTTTATATTTGAGCCTAAATAAACTAGCGCTGGTTGGTAGTTTGTATTCACACGTTTCGACTTGTAAACTGTGAACTTACAAGGATTGTTTAAAAGAGCAACACACAAGTTTCTTGCTTATTCTTCTTGTGATGAGACAGCTTTCCGAATAAGCGGTAGATTTAAAAAAAAATTTTTGACTATTCAAAAGTGCTTAAATTAAGTTTGTTTGAATAAATGATTTTCTATTCTATTCTATTCTACTAAATTATTTAAAAGAGCAACACGCAAGTTTCTTGCTCGTTCTTCTTATTATGAGACAAGTTTCCGAATGAGCGGTAGAATAAAAAAATAAGTAATAATTATTCAAAATTGATTCAATGTTCATTTTAATAATAATTTTCTATTCTATTCACTATAATATAATAGAAAGTTTTTATATTTATTTGTTTATAAATTACTATCTACTCGCCCCGGCTTCGCCCGGGTGTACATGTATTATATATATAAACCTACCTCTACAATCACTCTATCTATTAAAAAAAAAACGCGTCAAAATCCGTTGCGAAGTTTTAAAGATTTAAGCATACATACATAGGGACGGACAAACAGCGACAGCGACTTTATATATATATGGACTACCCCTAACATTTAGGGGGATGAAAAATAGATGGTAGCCGATTCTCAGACCTACTCAGTACGCCCACAAAATTTTATGAGAATCGGTTAAGCCGTTTCGGAGGAGTATGGGAACGAAAACTGTGACACGAGAATTTTATATATAAGATATACCTCTTACTATCAGATATTTTCTACACGCAGATGAGTGGGTGATTGCAGAAAATAGAGTCCAATTTACTATTAGATAGGTCATTTAGGCTATATCATTATTATTATCATTACATCGTATAAAACAAAGTCGCTGTCTCCGTCTGTCCCTATGTATGCTTAAATCTTTAAAACTACGCATCGAATTTAGAAGCGGTTTTTTAATAGATAGAGTGATTTAAGAGGTTTAAAACTACGCATCGAATTTAGAAGCGGTTTTTTAATAGATAGAGTGATTCAAGAGGAAGGTCTATATATAATACATGTACACCCGTGCAAAACCGGGGATAGTAGCTAGTTAAATTATAAATAGTAACCGTAAATTTGACTATATTTACATACTTCCAATTAACTTACAAATAACGCAATTCAGAATATAAACTATTCTAAACATTTCAACAGCGCCAAGGCTGCATACACGGCGAGGAGTTGCCGTACATATTCGGGGCGCCGTTGGTGGGCGGGCTGGCGCATTTCCCCCGCAACTATACTAAGGCCGAGGTGGCCTTATCGGAGTCCGTTATGCTGTATTGGGGCAACTTCGCGAAAACTGGGTAAGATTAGAATTTATATATGTTACTAGTTGACACGGCAAACATTGTTTTGCTATAAATTAAAATTAGCATTAAAAAATAGGGGTTGATGATAGAAGAATTAGGGATAAGAAGTATTATAATTATTGGCGCATTATAATGACAATTTTACCGAAAACCGAAGAAAACGAGACCGAAATTTTATATAAAAAATTGAAAATCCGCATCAAATACAGAGAGAGAATGTGGTCAAGTACAGGGAGCGGTCAAATACAGGGAGAGTCGACTGTAATAGTTTGCGGCGCCCGTAAGCTAAAATTATTAATTTTAAAAGAAAAAAGGTTATTACTATTCTACCAAATGAAGAGGATTTTAAATATTGAAAGAAGCCTTTCAAGGTGGCGGGAAGATGTTCCGGCACTCCTTCACTAACACTCTTGAACGCAATCTATTTTAACTGCAAAAAGTTGCTATTTAAATGTTCACAGGCGTATTGGATTTGTTTTCGATGTACCTGCGTTATTTTGTATTCTCTCACTTTTTCTTCGTCTACAAAAATCATTCGGTCTCCTCAAAATTGTTAACAATAATTATTAAAATTCAATATTAAAAGTAAATTTGGGTTTCTTTTGAAACTCCGATGTGTTAGCGAAGACACATAAATTGTAGGAAATTTTCTCTAGTTTAATTTATTATGTAGCTATTTTGATAGTAAAATGAGTCGGAAAGGAGATATTGTCAAAAAACTGTTTTTAGACGCCATTTTTCCTATACGGCGGCGCGAGCGGCAAAGACACGAGGTGGCAAAGTTGAAATTCGCCAAAGAGCACATCGAAATCTATAAGATTACCATATTTCAAAACTCCCGGACAACTCTCCAGGCAAAACTACCAAATGATTGTACTACTAGGTGATTGGAACATTTTTCATAAAATTGAGGTTTTACTTAGCGACAAACTATAAGAATACAGTTTATATATGTAATTTACATAAACTTGAAATATTAAATGCAAATTTTTTGCCATATCGTATATACGAGTATGCTAATAACATTGCTTATTACCAGCATGCTAATAGCACTATTATTGCTACTGAGGAATAATTTAATAACCTCAAAAAAATACAAGATGATGTTACAGAAAATGTACATATAAATATATACATATAGGTACATTCTTTTTTAATTACTGATACATTTTACTTTAATTTCAGTTTTTTTATTAACGCTTTAACGTCCAAATTTGTGCACATCATATTCAACTGATAGCACTCTTTAACAGCTGCCAATGGCGGAATGAAATAAACCAGTCTTAATTCCAAGTTTAATGATATCAGTCTGTAATGAGAGTAATGGTTTTTTTATGGGTTTCAGTATAAAGTTGAGAGTATATTCATTAAGTCTATTAAACCAATCTAATATTGTATCATTAAGATCGACTATGCCATTTATTTAAATCAATACTATTACATTATTGGTTTGCGATGATTTTATATATTTTCGTCAATTAAAGCATATTAAAGATTGTTTTTTTATATTATCTATATCCATGTATCTTTTATACTACATTAGATTTAAAAAAAAAATTTAAATGTCTGCAAAGGCAGATCATATCATAAAAATAGGTGTTTTATTAAAGAAAATAAAAATGTAGATGTTAAATCAAAAGTATTCCAAGCTCATCAAATATTAATAACAATGTGAGCAAAGAATCAGTATTATTAGTTAAGACTACTGCAGTAGCATCTCAAAATAAGATGATTAATATGTATTATTTTTTTATTAATAGGAATCCAAATGAGGCGCAGGAGAGCGATCCCATCAGAGCAGGACGGCAAGAACGTGTTAGGATGAAGAATATGGAGTGGACTGCTTATGAAGCTGTCCACAAGAAATACTTGAATATAGACACTAAATCTAAATTAAAGAATCACTACAGAGCTCATAGGTATGTAATTTCCATTGATATAATTAAAAAAAAAAGTTTATTTTTCGCAAATTTTCGTTAATGTAATTTTTTTATCAACAGATTGTCATTTTGGCTAAATTTGGTACCCGATCTTCACCGTCCAGGTGGTGAAGATGTACCGTCTTCTCACCATCAACTCGACCACGAAGATGCGTCTCTACAGCCTACACTTAAAACATATAGTCCGCCTTTCAAAAAAACAACTGACATAGTGATTACAGACACTGGTTTAGCAACCAAAGTTCCTGTTCTAAGTATTATTAATATTACATCACCAGTGAATTTCAATATAATCGGTCTTACACCACCAACACAAAGTACAGTGGAAGCTGAAATACATAAACCAGATGGAGCCACAGCGTCTCCACCCGAAGATGGCTTTGCTGCTTACTCGACAGCCCTTAGTGTAACTATAGCTATCGGTTGTTCTTTATTAATATTAAATGTTCTAATATTTGCTGGAGTATACTATCAGAGAGACAAAACAAGAATGAACGGGCAAGATGGCCACGCAAATGGTTCTCACTTAAAAAAAAGAGTGGAGAACGGACAAATGCCAAATAACATTTGTGGTGATCTTGAGGGTGCTTTATCGTATCAGACGAGTTTAAAAAATGATCCTGCCACGATTCTAAGTCATCATCACACTCATTCGCATCATCAACTGCCGCCTCCAGAGTTTGCTGATCTGCCGAGTAATAATGTAGCAAGCATGGCAACATTGCCACGAGCACCGCCTCCTCCAAAATTAGGGAAAGGCAACATCAACACTTTAGCGAGTGGTCAGCTACAAGAGAATCAGCCGTTGCTATCGGCTCACCAAATGCAAATGATCAATACTAGTACATTAACAAAGAAGAATACGCAACTGAACGCGAAATCCAATGTAACAATGGAGGAGTTGAGAGTGTGACGACAGCGTGCCTGACTGCAACGGGCCGGCAGTTGCAGTGATGTAGTTCACCATGATGAAATTGTGTGACTTGAGCCGGACCTTCTCAAGTGTGTTACGGATTATATTTGACATTTAAATGAAAGTGAATCTGTGCCGCTTGAAATTGAAGGGTTAGACAATATATTACGTTCGGTAATATTCATATCTGGTATACTAGACAGTGAAAACAGACAGTGTTTATAGTTATTGAATAGTGGACAATATTGAAATATTTAACGGTGTAAATGACTGTATATAGTAATTAAATATTAAAATTGTATATAGTACAGCAGCTCAGGCGCATATCCATCCTAATTACAATTATTATAATCTTTATTAGAAGAATTATTGATGAAGCTGATGTGATGAAAAATGGTATTAGGATAAATAAATCTTTAGGATCGAATGTTTCATTTTTAAAAGTAACATTTGATAGTGTATCTGAATGTAATGAACAATCTATTTTGAAATTGATTTAATACAATTTTTTAACAAGAATAAATTTAATGAATTGGGCTAATTGTAATGATTGTGAAGTAATTATTAAGGAGTTTAGTAGATACGAGACACCAATTTAATGTCGCCCAGTATTTATTAACTAGAAGCAATAAAAGTTTCATCGAACAAAATCAGTTATTTGTGTCTCCGATTTCTTGTAATATTGTCGACTGAAGAAGTAATTGGTATTTTTTAAACTCGGATTCTTCTTTTTAGTTTTGTTGTATCTTGATGGGTTTTTAATAACTGCTTTAAACAGTCATTGTGCAGTTTTAAGATATTAAATTCAATATTTATATAACTTATTTCATAATATCTGTTTCTATTTCTTCTTTCTACCTTTCATTTGCTCACGTAATTGTCTATGTCTATTCGTTGCTTAGTATTATTTTCTTAAATTGTCTTCCATCTATTACAATGTCTTCCGAAAGCCATTTGTTGTAATTTCTTTTCAATAGACAAATATAATTATGTAACTTGCACCAGTGATAATTTCTTCAACTATATTACGTTTTTTAATACCAGTTATTTCTTCAATCGCTATTATTCTACTTATTTCTAACATAGACGGACCAAAGTGTTTGTAAATATGTATATATTAGATGTAAAATAAAATCGTTACCATGTTTTATTCGAACCACGACTGAATTACATGAAAATGTTCCAAAAATACGCATTTCGTATACAGTGGACTTACAAAGTTCTGGAATATGTTAATAATACAAGCGCAGAAGTGCGTACCCGACATATTTGTTAAAATCTATTATGAATATTTACACGTGTTCAAGGCAAAGTTTTCGTGTATTGAGTGTATAATTTCCGCCATAAAACAGACTGTTGTCTTATGAGATTTTACAAGTAATTTCTTAATTGTTTTATTATTTCAAAAATAAGTTTCTCATATGGAAATTCTTACTTCAGTAATCAATTTTTATATTATTATGTTTAATATGGTTTTTGGAGATTTTTAGTCTATTTTGTTACGATTTGAAGATTCGAAAGTAATTATCAGTTTATTGCATAGTTTTTGCTTTGGTAATTCTTCTGAATTTACTTCTAAAATCTTCTTGATCATGAGACTTGTTTCTTGAGAATCTTGATTGTCTCTAGTAGGTTTATATTCGATCAATATTTAAATACATTTTCTTTTTTATTCATCTTCTACTCGATATTTAAGATTGCTTTGTTGTTTTCAATATTGTTACATCTCGCCTTTGCTCAGGATAGGCGGGGAGAACAACCGTTTGCTTTGTTAATATCTACCGGATACTGTAATTACAATGTTGTATTATACGATAAAGTTAATCCGATATAATCGCAAAACACTTTACGTTAACATTAAATGTATATTATAGTGAAACATCGGTCAAGTCTGTACAAATACGTCGTACTAAGATGCAGACTTAAAAATTTTAATAAAATAAATACATGAAAAATTTTACGGTAATTTTATTATATATTTATTTTTCCCGGAATACATTACTGATTTCTGAATTTATTATTACTAAATAATGAATATATTTTAAAATAACATTAAAATATTTAGATGAGGAAAATTCGAACGAAATTTTAAAGTTGAGAAAGCGACTTAGGGATCACTCCCACGTCCAGTAAACGAATCTTAATTTCAGTACCAATTTTTTTTTTTACTTTTAATTACAATACCACAATATTTATTTATATAATAAATTTAAAGTAATTGAATTGAGAATGTGGTTTATATAGAAATAAATCTGACAAATTTATACAATTCAGTAATATTTTTTTTTAACTTTTAATTACAATACCACAATATTTATTTAGATAATAAATTTAAAGTAATTGAATTGAGAATGTGGTTTATAAATAAATAAATCTGACAAATTCATACAATTCAGTATTTTTTTTTTAACTTTTAATTACAATACCACAATATTTATTTAGATAATAAATTTAAAGTAATTGAATTGAGAATGTGGTATATAAATAAATAAATCTGACAAATTTATACAATGTATTCTAGTGCCAACTAAGCAAATCAAATTTACCACGGTTACTTGACAACTTGACATTGATTTTGTGTTTAGAATGGTAAACAAACTAACAGCCCAACTGTCATCATATTATCATGTGATGCCCGTGTTACTCAAGGGTTGTCATTCTACATATATATAAGACTAAGATATCATGCCTCTTATATCCTGTCATTACACTACCTAATCTCACCATACGCAACTACAGAGTAAGATGATTGCGCCTGAAATAATAGTAGCTGGTGTTGATGATGTTTTTATAAAATCTAAGTTAAATTATTTTTGTACATATATATAATAATAATAATCTCAGGACAATTCACACAGCGCCATCTAGGCCCAAATTAAGCTAGCTAAAGCTTGTGTTATGGGTACTAGATAACTGATACATATACATAGATATTTTTTGTTTTTTTTTTTAATATATACATATTATACATAGAAAACACCCAGACCGATACAAACAATCATACTCATGAATACAAATGTTTGTGTCGTGCGAGGACTCGAACCCGAAAATAAAAAAATTCAAATTCAAATTCAAAAATCACTTATTCATGTAGGACATTTTAGCCGCTCATGAAATTTTTTTTTTCCTACCGTCCAGTTCGGTATATTAAGAACAAAAATAAAAAAGTAGATACACAATTACATTGATCAATCAACAAAATACAATACAACACAGGTACAAAAAGGAATTTTTGCTTTCAGCGTTTCCATGAATTCGACTGTACCACAAAAATGAGTAATAGCGTTGCAGGTGTCTCGAGAGTTCCTAAGATACCAATCGAACTTCCAACGATATCCGTGTTTATCCGGAAAGTCAGAGGTGCGGAGGGCATCGCTTTTCACATTAATTTTGTCGGAGTACAGGCTATAGTACAAGTTATAAGCGAAATGGAATCTAATAGCTATCATAAAGTTAATATATATTTACTAGCCGTTGTTTTGCCATATAAATTAAAATCGCTATTAAAAAATAGGAGTTGGTGATAGACGGGTGAAAACGGTTGTATATATTTTTAAATACCACATTATAAAAAAAAATTACAAAAAAATTTGGGGTGAGTCACCCTTAACACATACGGGTATAAAAATTAGTTATAAACCTATTCTCAGACCTACTGTATATAAATGTCAAATTTCATCAAAATGAGTCGAGCCGTTTCGAGAATTTTATATATTAGATATTAATAAAGTTAAGATTTGATTGTGTTTAGATATATCTTTTTCTTTATCAAGACTGAGGGTCGCGACCACCTGAAATCCTTGTCTAAGTAATACTCTCGAAGTATCTCTATGTTCTATCCTTTTGATGGTATCTCGAACGGAACCAGTTCATAGTGCAGGTACACTATCCCTATCCATTCTTCGGTCCACGAGGTCTAGTATTATACATTTCTCCAAATTATCTAATTACCGACGGGAACGCCACGTGACCGAGGAAAGTTAGCAGACGCTGAAAGCACACAGTACAGACACGTTGTTCCAATATAGATATATTAGTGTGGCGCTCCGACTATGAAATTCCTATGATTTCGGGCAAACACCACATCTACAGAGAGGTCGTTAATTCTATATTATTTTAATATAGTAGTAGTATAGTAGTAGTAGTGTGAGCTAGTTATTAACTACAGTTTGTATAATAATTTGCTCTGAAGTTATGTACGTTTAACTGATTTGATTAATCTTTGTCTTTATTGGTTTTCTAATACTTTCTAAAATGTTCTTACGGAACAAAATTAAAATAAAAGACTCGAATATTAACTACTAGCTTTTGCTCGCGGCTTCGCTCGCTTTAATTTATCCCTTTAGGGGTGGAATTAACAAAATCCTTTCTTGGGGGATGGCTACGTTATAGTAGCTTTATGCAGCAAAGTCTCAGCCCGATCGGTTTAAAATTGACGAAGTTTCATATAAATTTTCGTCCCCTATTTTATTCTCTTAGGGGTAGAATTAATCAAAACCCTTTCTTAGTGGACGCCTACGTCATAACATCTATCTGCATGCCAAATTTCAGCCCGATCCATCCAGTGGTTTGGGTTGTGCGTTGATAGATCATTACATCAGTCACCTTTGAGTTATATATATTTAGATTTAAAATACTTAAACAAAGATATAAACACCCTGGCAAAATCAGAACATGATTAGCTTTACAACGCATGAAATTTCCATAAATATTATAAAAATAAGTAATATATCCAGTAGCTTCCGAAAAATGTACCACAACCTGAACATGAGCTTAATCAATTTTAATAACCGCCCCTCATCCATCACTTACACTGCACACGTAAGGCTCGCTAACAGAAAATTACATCGTTAGAGTTAATGGCTCAACATTTGTTTACAGCACGCGAACTCGTAAACTTTCATTAATTCTGATAATAACGAGAGATAGTTCACTGATGGGCACCATGTTTTATGACAACGCTGGATTGGCGATCTCGAAAGCGCTTTACGCTCGATTTGAGAACTACAGTTGAACTGCAATTTCGGAGTATCGAATTTTGTTGCAGCACTGAGCTTGCATTGCTTTAAATGTATATGTAGAACGTACTATAATATCATTATAATAATTTTACTTATTTACTATCTACAAACAACAGTTTTCCATAACTTATCACCTTTTTTTTTCGGACTACTCTAATGCTGTTGGCCGCAGCTGGCTTTTACAGATTCACCGGACGTTAGGGGGCGAGTGCAGATGGTACTCCAAGCCCGCGGAAGGACTTATGGAGCGGCTGAAGGCCAACTCCTGCCTGACGGATACGACTTTAGTCTGAGGGCACCACTAGGGGTTCGAACCTCGGCTCAGGCCGTCGTAATTTCGATCCCCGTTTGAATTGGACGGTGGATCGATCGGAGGGGTCTTATCATCTAAGTGTAAATATGTTACTAGTATTATAAACGCGAAAGTTTGTAAGTATGAATAGATAGATGTTTGTTACTCTTTTAAGCAAAAACTATTGAATAGATTTTGATGTCACTCTCTCATTTCAGGTCTTATTTTCCAAGAAACGTTACAGAAATATAGCTTATACATGAGAATAGAATATAATAGAAAATCATTTATTCAAATAAACTTACATTGAAGCACTTTTGAATAGTCATTACATTTTTTTAATCTACCGCTCATTCGGAAAGCTGTCTCATCATAAGAAGAACGAGCAAGAACTTGCGTAAATAATAATAATACAGAGGCTATAATTTTAAAATCAC